CCATCTCGTCTAAAGCATCTTTGCACATTCCGATCAAAAAGAAAAACCGAACCACCTGAAAACAGAAATATATATTACACCAAGATGTGATTGAAGGAAACTTACAAATGGCTGGAAGTGCATGTGCAAGTGCAAATCTTGCTAATGAAGGACAAGTAAATTTGTAAGGGCATCTGCATGTCAAATTGTGCTAATTATATTGAGAAGCTAGTGCATTAAAATTGAGAAACATTTAAGAAAATACACTCAACAACCAAAGTTTTCATAATCCATAAGCCACAATTTTTGAGGAAAGAATAGGCCTAGCTGACACCGAGTACACATGAAAGGAATTGGATTTATCAACTAAAAGTTCTTGGTAGGCAACAAAAAAGCTAACTAATTTTAAAGGTCAAACAAATGACCCTAAGAGATGCACTGCCACACAAAATCAAGGTTTAGATTCATGTCAATGAAAATTCTAGATGCCATCAGGACAAATATCATTATCTAGCAAAAGGAATTATGGCTAATGCCAATTTAAGTTGGGGAATGGTACTTGGTGGCTGATTAAGGGGTTCTGGGGTAATTCCAAATTTCTTATAATTCTGAATAATTTCACATATTTCATCTGGGCGAAACCACCGATGCTGTGCTTCTAGGGGTATCTGCTCAATATCTGCACCATGCCAATTATAAGCCATTAGTACTGCAAACATGAAACATAATGTATGGAAAAAATTAATCCCAGAGTAAATCCACATTCATATTAATTTAACACAAAATAGGATCATAAATATGAGCAGCTGTTAGTGACTAGTTCACAAGCAAAAACCATTCCTAGCATATAGAGCTGTCAAAATTGCATTCCTCAGTACCATTCATCAATGGATGCTGCTTTCCAAATCGGGTTAAAATGCAAACAGATATATAGCTGCAGAAGTCCACTGATATGGGGAGTAACTACATAATCAGCATGGTCGCAAATATTATCGGATTTTAAACCTTTGCGTCAAAGCCAATACTTCACATTAGTACTCTACTGATAGCACATTTATTCAAGCATTTTTAACAGTCTCAATAATTTTTTTTTCAAACTGAACTCTCTCCTTAGTGTCATTCTTATCACTTTTTTTAATAGAAGACTGTAATTTAGCATCGAAGGATTCTTGATCAAGTAATATGATTCTTGTTTGGACAAAAAAAAAAAAAAATTAAGCGCATTTTATTTAACTGCCTAAGTCCTCCTAAGTCAACTAAAAGCTTGTTTTTAAATAAAATTAAGCTCAACCATAACCCGATGAACAGATAGCTTGAAATGAAGTATGTACGAACATTCTAGGAAGCATTAATAACTTGCACAACCATCGCACTCAAAGTAAAAGTAAATTAACATCACTACTACAACTCTTTAAGTCAGAAATTGTACAGAGAAAATTAAACTCAGAACAAAGAAAAAGAAACGAAAACTGAAGTCTACCCTCCTTCCTTTACCTAATGCATTGGCGAGAGCAGAGTGGCCAGTGTCAACACTCTCAACCATTATCTCGCGCAGTGTTTCGACTTTCTACTCTACTCGATATCAGAATTCTAAGAAGCAGCAGCTGAAACTCAATGCTGTTTTTAAAGCAGGACAAGAAAACATGGCGTTGGTTGAGTCAAAGAGGGGAGGTAGTGTCAAGAAAACATGTACAGTCGTACTCTGTCTAGATAGGATAGGCGTGGTAGGGGCCATTCAGGGACACAATTGATGGTATTGTTGACTTGACAATGATAGACCGTGGTGACTACGGAAAAATTTAACCATGATTGATGATATGTACATTTATTGATGATATGTACATATACATAGCGTAGCCCATGTGCTGGCTTTAATTTTTTTATTGATAATGGGACCGTGTCATCATGAATTTTTTAAATTATTTATAAATTCGTATTAATTTATTAAACAATAAAATTAAAAATTATCTTATAAATTATTAACCATTTTAAATAATAACTTTTTATTTTACGATATCAATTATATCAAACTATAAAATTGAGATTTTTAAATTATAAAAAAAAAAGAAAAAAGAAAAAAAGAGATCAATATCAGGGTTTCTCCTTAATTTAAAAATTATTATTTTAT